TTGAAGTTTGAAATATACTATTTTATATATATTTTAATTTGAAGTTCGAGTTATTTTATTGCCACCCACGGGCCTTCCACACGCCCATTTACATATAACGCTTTGAAACAACTTTAAAAAGTGAGCAATGTCAGTGTTGTGATAATAGAGAATTTCCGTTATAAGTTGTTTCAAAAACTTATACGTATACTTATAGTTTAAAGTGTCTTGTCGAACTAAAATCAATTCAAATTGATTTTCATAATCTGTACCAAGTGTGGCATAACTATTCCCGATATAGTCAAGCTTCATCATCAACTAGGGACTGCGAATACAATGTCCTTTGCTAGTGTAAATTATGAACACGATAAACTAAATTCTAGTTGACGGGTCCTTGTAGTGTAAGATAAACAAGACCCTTTAAAGTGAATCACTACACGAACGAGTCGATCATTTCAAAGTTCTCATGAAATTATAAGGTCAATTTTTAAGTTTTTACGTATAAAAGGGCCTTTATACGCAGATTATAAACTTACAGAGTTGGATCTCCGCATAGTATATGTGTGGACCTACTGACCAGAATGGCTTATTAAAATTAATCGGCTGAATAGGCATAGTATCCAATCAAATAGCTCGACTCATTCATTAGCTGAACTAATTCTGGTACAAAAAATATATTTGAGAGTAGATAAATCTGTAAAACCCGTGTGCTATATCAGCCTATTTGATTCTAGAAAACACATATGACACAACTAAACATGCTTTACATCAAGGGGGTACGGATGGTATGCCATTGGCCCTTTTTATTACCGTCCAAATTTGTTGAGTTTTCTTGCAGAAATCGCCTACCCCCCCCCTCCATCCATTTTGTATGATCACAAGGCGTGATTTAAGCTGCTGATATTCTTCTTTAAACGAGTCGGATTTTCAAAATCTATAAGTTGGACTCCCTTTATAGAAGCTTTGAACTGAATTTGCACTGCTTAATGCTGAAATGTTTTTGTTTATCCATACATTTTAAGAAAAAATGTATAAAAAAAGATGTTAAAGCCAAAGGTTGCCCTAAAAATTCAGAAAATGTAAAAAAATTAGAATTTTCTATGTACAGGCCTTGTTGCCCCTTTAAGAAGCTTAATATGTAAATTATCTAATCAAACACTTCGTCCACCATTTTGAAACACTAATCAATCCAATCTGTGCTAGCGATTCATAGGGCGAGCCAGTGGGATATTTCCAGGGTTCATACACACCTGGAAATGTCAGGGAAATTGACTTGATTTTCCAAGTGCTGGAAATGTCAGGTAATTTTAAAATTAGGTCAAAAGGGCCAAAGATGACCGGGAATTTTGAAACGGTAGACATGTCAGGGAAATGTCAGGGAAATTTGTATCAGTGTTGAAAAAATAATGTTCCAGAGATTAATGTTTCCAAACTGTTTTGAAACAAACTAACGTCTTGTTTTCAACCTACACCTTGCTCCTTTCTGTCGTATTTAATAAAACAAAAATAGTATATCATGAGGGATACGAACCACTCACCTGGGACTTGGTTATTCACTAGCGCCATAGGCGTTCTACTATTCTGGATACAACTGACGAGTCGTATTTAAGTGGAGACAAAAGTGAGGATCATTTTGAATTGACGCTCGGTATAAATATATAATACTTTTGTTCTTTCATATCGGTAGCTCGTTGGTCTAATGGTTAGCGTGCCTGGCTTCCATAGTCTAGGTTAGTTGATCGAGACCCGTTCATGTCGAACTTTTTGATTTGCTTGTTGTCAAGATATAATAAGTAGGGCAAAATCCAGAAAAAGTAGATCAAAAATACTCCAATGGAGTATAAAATTGTCACCAGGATTCCGGAATGAGACGAATGTTAACTCGTGAAATCTCGGTAGATAAGGTAGGTCAGAAAATCCGGATTAATCCGAACAAGGTTCGGGAATTTCCGTCATAAGAAGTAGGTCAAAAATACTCCAATGGAGTATAAAATTGTCACCAGGATTCCGAAATACGACGAATCGAATCGGCAAACTTCGGTACAATAATGAAGTGCATAAAAATCGTGAAACAGGTGTCAGGGGCTTCCCTCATCTTTCCATAAATGGTTCTAAAAGCCTTAAATGGATCTATCACGTGACATTCAAAATGACGTTCCTATATGGTTCTATGGGCCTTATATGGATCTTTCGAACACGTGACCAAATCAAAATCAAAATCAAAATTTTACCTTGACCATTAGATGGGATTTCATAGAAAATATCAAAGAAAACATATTCTCGTGATCCTTAAATCACTTAAATTCGATCATTTTATCTTCACCCCTTGATGGAATTTTATGAAAGAAGTTATGAAAACACATCATCATGTAAGGGTTTTCACCTAAATTAGCTCGTTTTATCTTGTTTCATGAAAAATATCATGTTATGATTTGTATTTAAATAAGACCGTTTCATTTAAATACTTGCTGGATAATATTTCATTAAAAAACGCACTTTAAAAATATTTCAGGATTTGCCTTAATTTATTAATGTAATGTAAGTATTAGATTGACTCTCAAATAGGGTTCTATTTTAACTTTTTTATTAAAATTAATACTAGGCAGGACTCACTCTCTAAATAGCTAATAAAAATTCAACCCTTGGATGTGATTTCGTTGAAAAAAAAATATGACAAGTCCAGAATCAAATGATTTGTCCAGAACCTCTTAAGATCCTGTTATATACTGACAAAAAAAAAACTGGAACCCATAAATCATTAAATTTCTCGAAAAGTATTATACCTACATTCTTCAATTCTTCAGGGTAGAAACTAGACTAAATGCATGACAAAATGACACAATAATGAGTACTGTAGCTTAGATATTAATCATGCCATGGACGACAGAAGAAAAGACTTATATTGTGAGAAAGTATATCGAGACAAAATCCTATAAAGAGACACAAACTGCCTATATGAGAGATCACGGGGCAAGAAGAGCCCCTTTAAAGTAACAGATCTTTAGGCTTGTACAGAAGTTTGATTCAGAAGGAACTGAGAAACCAACAAAGAAGATAAGTGATGGTAAACCAACCTATTCGGGGAGAGAGAGGTCCGTCAGAACTCAAGACAACTCAACAGTCAACTCAGAACGTTACATCCCTAGCGTTCAAAAGTTTCGGAGAGCGCTGGGTAGACGACGTGACTTGAGAAGGGACCAGCAATGGTTCCAACAAGATGGTGCCACACCCCACACCTCAAATGAGTCCATTCGATGGCTTCAGGCTCACTTTGGCGATCAATTAATCAGTCACCATACCCGCCACATCTGCCCCCCCCACTCCCCTGATTGAACCCCCCAGATTTTTATCTGTGGGGGTATCTCAAGGATAATGTGTATACAGATAGTCCACTGAACATTGATGACCTCAAACTCAACATTGGAAGACTAATTAGAGAGATAGACAGAGATTAATGTAGTCGGGTCATTGACAATTTTGCAAGAAGAATCCAGCTCTGCATCCAACGTCGTGGTGCACATTTGGAGCACATTATCTAATCGTGCCTCATTTGAAGACTAATTTGGCTAGAATGCTAAAAACTTATCCTCGTGTCATACATTCAGTTGACTATACATGTACCAAATAACTAAGCTCAATATGCATCATTGACGAAGTTGTTAAGACTTAAGTGGGTTCTATTTTTTTTGTCACCCTTTATCATCTTTTTAGATACACTAACCTAAGTGAACGGGTTGGTAAGGTAATGGAATTGCTTTTACTTTAAAACAGAGAAACTGTTTATACTTTTTCCTTGTTGGTGAATCTTCTGATTTCTCTCACTCATTTAGCTTCATTTACATTAGCATAAATTCATTTAAACCATGTTAAGGGTTATTATATCAGGTTCAAAAAGAATATTCAGGGCCATTTTGTATGAATACGACTTTGATTTCAATCTGCCTGGTCACACATTGTCTCAAATGTGGCTGTACATATTTATATAGCAGATTGATTTGAACTTTCAGAACTTTATTTCTAATTAAAACTTCATAAGCATTGAGTGAGCTACGTGTACATTCTTGTGAGAAGCATTTCTGATTCATTTGACATTTACAGATTGACTTACATGTAGATTTAAGATTCAATCGCCAACTTGATATTTTTAGCTTTATCTTATATAATTTGAGGGAAATATCTGCTTGTCAGTGTTGATTATTTGAGTTACTACAATATTCATACTTAACATCTACATTTTGAACTGAAAATTTGAGAGAATTACCAGCTATTTATTTCACTTTTATATGTATTGCAACTGCCTAATGTATTCCATATTATTGTTTTTATGATGACAATACAACCGATCTTTTGATTAGACAGGTTATTTTACCAAGTGAGGAAAACTGGCAGGTAGAATTAAGAGTAGCAAGTTACGTTATAGTTTGCATTGAATTTCCTAGATACACTGAATTTCATAAGTGTATTTGACTGAAAATAACGTTACTTTCTGTTGTATTGCATAACTGACGGTAAATCTATGTAGAATTGTATAACCAAACACATGTTTATATCTTGAAATAGAGTTGAATTATATTCATTTTATATAATTTCCCATTACATTCTCTGTTGTGTTGAATGATTGTGTAAAGTGAATGTGGATATAGATCAGTGTTTAAAAAGTCCCCCATTCCCATATATTTTACAATCTATTATCAAGCTAGACCATTAGAAATCCAAATACTTGATAGCTGGGCAACCCAGGACCACGCTACCCAACACCCTGGGTTGCCACAAAGTAAGGTGAACATAGTACATAAAAAGTACATTTAAATCTAACACACGTGGACATTAAAATATGGTGATAATGATCTTTCATCTGAAACTAATAGCAACATTTGACTTCATAAGCTCAATATATCTTTACCAATAGCCACTAGCCCCGGAATATTTATCTTTAATCACAGTTAATATTTTGTATTTATAAGTATGTAACAATAAAAAACGACACAAATATGTGTTAGTTTATAACTATATATACTTACATAAGGTGAAAAGATAGTGGCCCAACTAACTTGAGATCTCGCCCAATCATTGTCAAAACTTTTCCAAATGTTGTAACCTCTCGTATCGTAAAACCTAAACATAAAAAAACGTATATGAAATGGAATTTTGAAAATTAAAAGTTCATGAATAAATATTCATTTCAAGGTGAACATATGTAATCACAAGAGGCAAACGGGGGATATATCAAAAAATGAAAAAAAGATTTAAATAAATAGAAAAGAGAGAATGACAGAATACAATTAAAGTAACGAAAACCGAGCATTCCAAACAATAATCAACTCACAACTCACTCATTAGCAAAACCAGACGTCACCTTTATCCGACCTTTCTTGAATCATTCACCCGAATCCAAAAGACCATTTTTTATTTATTTACTCAATTTATTTGTATCAATATAATATATTACAAAAATTGCTCCTCAATCGCTTTTCAGCATTGTAGAGGAGCAAAATAAATGAAAAATAAGACACTACACAGCAAATGTGTCCAAAATACCATAAATACATACATTTAGCTTGTATTCGCGTATGCATCATTCGGCTTATATATGAATGGAATATTGACAGAAACCATTTATATTCAAATGAGTTGCCAATAAAATAGTACAGTAGGTAGGTAAATCCGGTAGCCGACAACCAAAAGTTCATTCGAATACGAACTTAGTTCTAGATTACATTTCCCGGGTCACATAATCCCAATTTTTTGTCAAAAATTGTTCATTTAAACGGAGACATATACACGCAGTCCTAACTTCGACCGTTAATTTGAATTTTTGACCTACCAGATGCTTGAAAATCAAGGATTGTGAGTCTCATACTGCACCGTTTTTCTTCAAACCTATACCATTAAAAGCAAAACAAAATTGTCTTTCTATCGGTGCATTGCTTTATTGTAAAGAGTCCCTCAGCAGCGTTTTGGTCCCAGCTGTTAGAAGGCCTTACAGCTGGGGACCAAAATGCCGCTGGAAGTAGGGACTCTGTTTAGAGAATAATGTACCATCAGAAAGGGATTTTTGTTATGCTTTGAATGGAACAAGTTTGAAGAAAACGGTGCAGTATGAGACTCGTAATCCTTGATTTTCAAACATCCGGTAGGTCAAAAAAAAGGTCGAAGTTAGGACCGCGTGATATAGTCTCTGGTTTAAACGTTTCTAAACATTGTACGACACATTGACCAGAATATAGCGTTAATATCGTTTCTTATCTACTAAGCATGCTCACAAACGTAAACATTTTGTAATTCAAAAATAAATAAAGCATACTTGTTTGTGAACTTGACTTCGCCATCCGTAATGTGATACATTCCAGCTCCCCCAACACCGTCGAACCAATGCTCTATTCTCTCCATTGGATTAGGACTGTCAAGGTTACCAAATGAACCCCCAACCTGGCGTATGAAACGGCCTAGAATAAACATAAATAAACAAAATATAACATATTGTATGCTGTAATATTTTTCAAGAATCTTGAAAAATACTTGGGGATACAAGTCAAAAGCCTTGATCTAATAAAACATTCTCTGAAGAAAGGAAGAAAGTTGTTTTAGTAAACATAAATAACCATTAAGAAACAAACTGCACAACTGTATAACCCTGTAATAATACTTTTCTAGTTTATTAACCATCTTTAACGGAACATGGTGTACTAATATAGTTTTAGATATTTGATTCATCCTTGGTCCAAGATTTAAAATCACCTTCCCGTCTGATAACGTTCATGAAGTTTGTAAATAGTCCTTAAAAAGATGCAGCTACGTTCATTCCGTTCGCATACAGTTTAAAACCAGTTTTGAAGAACGCAGTGGCAACTTGTTTGGTGTGATAGCTATATATTTGCTAACCCGTTCATAAGCAGTCTTTAATACGTTCTTAAACCCGTTTGCAATTAGTTCTACCTCGTTCTCAATGCGTCCTCAGACAGTTCAACTCGTTGTAAAAACGTCCCTAGTAGGATTGAAGTACGACGGTTCCGTTCGAAGTACGTCCAGCTCGTCGTTAGTACGTTGTTACTCGTTCTAATTGTAGAACGTGACGACCACGAGAGCATTTTGAGCATGTTCTAAGTTCCAGAGGACCTACCCGTTCAAGTACGTTCGATAAAGTTTGTAAATAGACCCCAAACGGTTCTAAGTACATCAAGTCCGTTCGTACACAGTTGAAGCCCGTTTTCGAGAACGTAGTGAGAACTAGTTTGGTGTGATAGTAGGGTTAATGAATTTGATCTGTGTTCAATTCATAACGCTAGCCGTTATAATGCACATTGCGCTAGGCAGCGACCTATGTAACTACTTTACCGCATATAAGAATTGAAATAAATGAACTGAACTTGGATAATATATTGGAGTCACAAATTATGACTGGGTCAATATATAGTGTAACTTACCCTTTATCCAGTTTGGAAATTCTCCACTAACCCTAGTGACAGATGCATTTGTAAATTCAGTCATCAGTGTCTGAAAGCCAACCTTTGCATGGTTATTTACGCCTAAACAACCCATGATACACAGCAAACATTGCTGCAACGCGATCATCAGCATATTCATCTCCATCGGAATACTAGTACGTACTGGACTGAATTAACAACACTTAGGTCTACCAAACCAACCTTCCTTATCTTACAAAACTTGCGTTTGGTAATATATTGATTCAGTCGTGAATGTAAATGAACCAACCAAGGAAGATTGGAAGCCAGGGTTCCAACTCGATTATCTTTAATCTCCAAGTGATTCGATATTGCTGATCGTGCATGTATATTTCTACGGCTGCATGGAGAATGAACGATATTCTCCAACAAAGTAAGCGTCATCATGGACTGACATTTACCTAGCTATAAATCCACAATCAGCATTCAAAATATTTGAGCTAATCAGTGGCGGATCCAGGAACCAACAGGGGGGGCCCAAATTTGAGGTCAGAGAAAAACCTCCGTTGGGCCCAAATTTTGAAAATTTGAGGCCCATTTTCTTTAAAATTTGGCCTGAAATTAAAAAAAAATATGTCCTTAGAAAGCCCAATAATGACCAAAAGGCCATAAGGCCTTTTTTGGCCTAAAATTTTTTGGGCCCAACTTTTTTTTCTGGGCCAACCTTAGGGGGGGGGGGGCGGGCCCCATGACCCCCCCTCGGATCCGCCATAGCTAATAGTCATTAATTGAACCCATTGATATTTTGATCACTTCGTGTGTATTTTGATTTTCTGTTCGGTAGTAGGACCAAAACTCTAGATCTGACGCTAGCTTTGTTGGATAATATCGAGTATGAACCCCGGGAGCTAATCCTCCCTATAAATCAACATTGTCACCGCGTGTTTTCAGAAAAGCATTTCTTGAAAAGAAGGCTTGTACATATATTTCACTATGTTGACTTTTGCAATAGTGGCGGTATATAGTGGACATTATCTGAGTGTGTATTTATTGTTATTAGTTTTATTCAGACTGCTGTGATGATCATCTTGGGACATTGTATGCAATATGGCAAGCCTGGGGTAGTCTTTCATACTTTCAAAAAAATACATGCGACAAAATTATTTGATATAATTGAAATCTGTAGTTAATGAGATAACAGTTATAGTCAATAACAATAAAAAAAACAGCAAGTACAACTCTTTTATACCTTTAAAGGCCCTATATAAAGTTTAACTACTTGGGCTTATAAAGTAGTCTTACTCAATGTTATCAAAATCTGATATGTAAAACTTCAAAAAGTGTTTTTAAGGACTTTTTGTTTGAAACGTCACATCGTTTTTAAATAAGCGATATTTCACAACAATGCATGGCATCTATCCTCTTGTGTTTTTGAAAAATTAAAACATTTGTTGAAAATTAAGCATGAAATGAATTCACCCAGTCAGGAAAGTGGTTCAGAAAAAATGCATTTCGACATTCTAGTTCTTATAGAAAACAAATGTATATTAGTATTTAAAACAGGATATATTATTCTTTGCAACCTAGTTTTAAGATAAACAATCAACATTGGTTTATTTTTAAAACAGAAATTAAAAATTCCAACATTTACGCGAAAATTTGAGAAATAAAATCTGTTATATCTTTTTTCAAATAATGCTTTATACTAACTTTTTGTAATGTCATGATGAAAACAAGGCATTAACATGACAATGTGTCACCACCTAGTTGAAGCAAGATAAAAAGACATATTTTGACCTTGAGGAGGTCATTAAAGGTCAAACCTATTTTGACCTTGATAATGTCATGACATTATCAAGGTCAAATCTATAGTCAGATTTGGAATGTTGAAAACTTGTAGATAGTTTTTAAAAAAATTGGTCAATTTGAAGCAAGTTGCAATTGAAAAAAGACATTTTGACATTTTTTGACCTTCGTATCATTGAAGACCAAATCTCAAATCTGAAGTCAGATTTGGACTTCTGATAACTTAAAGATGATTTTGAAAAAATCGGTCAATTTGAAGCAAGTTGAAAAAAGATGCTTTTGACTTTTTTTGATCTTGAAAAGGTCATTGAAGGTCAAATCTTAAATACAAAGTCAGATTGAGAATGTCATTGAAGGTCAAATCTATAGTCAGATTTGAAATGTTGAGAACTTGAAGAGGATTTTGAAAAAGAAATCAATTTCAATTTGAAGCAAGTTGAAAAATACCTTTTTGACCTTAAAAAGATCATTGAGGGTCAAATCTCATAGAAGTCAGATTTTAGCTTCTGACAACTTATAAAAAATTTTGAAAAAATCGATCAATATGAAGCAAGTTGAAAAAAACCTTTTTGGCCCTTTTTTACCGTAAACAGGTCATTGAAGGTCAAATCGTAAATATAAAGTCAGAATTGAACTTCTGAAAACATGTAGATAATTTTGAAAACAACTGAAGTCAGTATATACACTTTTTGTTAAATTATTGAAAGTTTTTGTTTCAGACGCCGACCGCCCATCGCAGGCCGCCGATCGCCGACCGCCGATAACCAACAAACCATCCGCCGACAGCCGTAGAAACAACCGAGACCATAACACTATTTCACCACTTTTTGGTGGTGACATAATAGCAAAAGGGATAAAAACTTTGCACAAGGCCTATGAAGTACGCTGTAGAATATAATAAGGCAGATACAGATATGAAAGGGAGTGTTTCAAATATTTAGTGCACCGTGTGGGAATCGATGAACTGAAGTAGCAATTTGTCGATACGCAACCTGTGTTAATTGATGTTTCCACTTACAGGTTTTATAAACTGCAATGCCAAAAGTATAATCTATATTATCAAATAAGCTTTAGTTAATAAATCAAGACATTTTTAAATACTAGTAAAAGGTTTTATGAACTTAAAATGACTTTATGGTCTCAAACTTTTAAATTCGAAACTGCAATTGGCAATATCGCTTAGAATATATATTACTCTAGTAGCTCATGCTGGTTGAGTATGCACTTCTATGTCCAGAGATTTTCTCTTCAGAAATCATCTATGTGAAGGTCATTGATCAATTTTGGCTTTGTAACATATTTGCCACAGAAGGCGAAATAGGTCAAATGACCACGCCCTTTTTTACGCGAATACTCCCCCCTCATTTTTTGCATCTCTGGAACCGTTGGACATAGAAGGTTGTGTGACCACTCAAAATGTCCGGAATGGCCACATTATAGGGGTCAATAATACTATATAAAAAAGTCAATGGTTCTCAAGATATTTGCCAAAAACTGATTTTAGCATGTTACGCACAACAGTTTTCATCTATCCTGCATCATTTAAGACTGAATCCGCAGCCTCTATCTAGTCAGATCAGTGAAGGAAACAAACTTTTTTGGTTGTTGAGTTGGCCAAGAGGTCTTAGGTGAATGGGTACCCTAAACCACGAGGTTGCGAGTTTGAGACACGTGTGCTCCGTATGTTCATTATTTTACGAGTATCATATCTAGTATCTATAAGGAATGTTGATGTATTATGAGTATTGAATATCGATTGAGTTTAATTATAAACCATGAGGTTGTGAGTTTGAGACACATGTGCTCCTTGTGTTCATTCTTTAATGAGTACTAGTATTTACAACTAGTTATCACTAGTTTTCATGTTATGTGTGGCTATCAATTGAGTTTATTTATGCGGATTTCTACACTTTGTGCCTTTACTACATCCACAAAACACAACACATTTTATGTCCATTGCTCTGCAGGTGCATGTCTTGGAACTAATGCAGGATGTTGGGCATTTGCATGGAGGAGGTAGGTCATCAGGCCTGCATGGAACTGGTAGTATTACAGGTGTAATACCATCATCTGTTGCTTTAAAGCCATACTGGCATGGATCTGGTGTGATGACTTCAGGAATTGGAGCTTGTAACCACATCTTGCACTGCAGATATGCCCGCTTTATGTGTTCCTGTAGAGTTGATGAACAGCACACAAGTTGGTTAAAATCAATATCTTTCTTTGAGTCCCATTTATACAGTATACGTTGTCATGTGTCATATTTCGATTGGTAAAATTAAAGCTTTTTTTCGATTGGTGTATCAAAGGAATTTAATTTATTCGCTCTATGAAACAAACAGTTCGTGGAAATCTAATTGAGCGACTGTTATGTCCGCCATTTGTTACAACGGCATCTGACTTCACCGTTGTCAGGCCATTCCGATGTGCACATGCCATCTATATTCACATCTGCACTTGAGATCTATATTTCATATCATTTCATATACTTCAGATCTATATTGCATAAAGATTGATTCATTGTGTTTCTAAAAGTGAAAGTAATGACCAGTAATGAACAAAAAGCCCACTAATTGGGGCCCTAAAGGAGGGGGGGGGTGGACTCATCTTATCCGCCCGTGACGACTGCATCATATTTTTTCGCTTGTTGGGCTTTTCACACGTTGATCTGGGTTAATTTGTTGTGTGCATGTGTCGTATGTGTGAGGAAAAAATATTCACTAATGATCCATCGCACATCTTGTTTTAAATGTGTAATTGGTGCTGAATTCTATTACTTATTTCATATTTCAGTGTTGCAATATAAAGTACAAGAAGCAGAAGAAAGTTCTAGTCGGGGATAAACCATGATGGCACATATAGCTTACAGAAATGTAAAATCTGTTATGTTATACTTAGTGTAATATAGGGAAGACTATATAAAGTTAGAATGCACCATAAACATTTTCTTATACCTGTACTGCTAATTAATATGGCGCTACTTATTTTGGTGAATTTGCTCTTTTGAACAGTTGACGACTTCTGAATTTGGCGGAATTGCAATATTGAAATGTAAACATATTTACGATTAAAGCATGAACTATTAAATTACTGTTTTAATTTGGCGGATCCCCTAAATTATTAAAGTCCGGCAAATTAAGTAGAAGTACAGGATTACTAAATACTTTTCAAATAATAGTCTATCAGCGTCAACAAAGATTGTGTGGCAGATGCCACTTTAAAAGGACGATATGACATATGGTCCCTCTAGTCTAGTCCATCTAGATGTCATTGAAATATATAATTATTGTTATTATACAATTGCAATAATATCCTATAATACGACTACATTATTCTATATTTTCATTTTGCAATAATAATATACTATATTATTCCACGATGGTGAAATTCCCTGCAATCTGATTGGTCCATGTGACTTAAATATATCCTGTATTTATACGCACTTTCCACTCAGCATTGAATACAGAGTGAAAATGACGTCAGCGTTGGGATACGGTCCAGTATCCCAACGCCCCAGATTTCCATCCAGGATATGACTATTACTGAAAAAATCAATGGCGATCTGTTTACACCAACGCATGCTAATATTTGCATTTTGCTAGAAATATCTGATTTGAATATCAGGAAATGATACGGTGATCACCACAATTTATTATTTTAGGATAAAAAACACTCATCTGTAATTATAAAAAAATCAGTATGAAGCATGCACATTGTTTTCATGAACTAGTAAAAATCCAATATGGCAGACGAAAGTCGAAAAAACGTTTCGTTACACCATGGGCTCTACTGATAGAGCCCATTGTTACACTGTTCCAGCTGATGAAATTGAAGAAAAATGTTGAAGAAAATCAAACGTATCGTATAATACAATAAAAGCAAAACAACAAGGCCGAAAAGATTTCGAAGGAATATCGATGTAAAATATTTTTGAGGTGAGAAGGTTGATCTGTTTCTCTGGTCCCACGACAAGGAAATGGACTTGATTTAGGGGAGTTTTATCTGAGTAATCATGGAATAAAACCGTTATTCAATGATTTCTCGTGAAATACAGAAAATATTCTTCCCTTGAACGTCTGTATTTCACTCTGCTAGCGCATCGTGAAATACGACCTTCTCGGGAAGAATATTTTCTGTATTTCACTCGAACCATTGAATAACTTATACTATTATTACAGAGTATACTACCATAAAGCTTGTATGTTATTATACTATCGTATAACTGGTCATTTTGTCTATCTCCTTTCTAGGTTTCGATTTATTAAGAGATTTTCCATGGGATTCGAATCTGTGTACCATTCAGTGCATTTTTCATGATTAATAATATTTGTATTAAACACAAATGTTATATTTCTTGCACAATAGTTTTGCAATGAGATTCTTCGTATAATTCATAATTACAGGTTCTTAACTAATATTGTTCAAATGTCTCTATAATTTTGGATTTTTTCTTTTCAATCCAAGATATCAAATTCCATCGCCAAACAACCCTTGTAACTTAATGAATCGAAACTCTCAAGTTACAAAGTCCTTCAATGGAACTAGAGCCTGTATTTACCTGTATCAAATTCCTTAATTTAAGCTAGTACCAAAGTTGGCCTTTTCATCACCATATATATTTCAAATCACAAATCTCGATACTGGTATGGTATGGTATGGTTCTTTATTTCCTCCAATTTGGAGAGCAAATTAATACAAAATACAAATTATTAAATTACGATATATACATTAGATACAATAGATATAAAATAACAATATGTGGCGAAATGAGTAAGGCAAGGTAATATTTGCTTACAACGTGAATTCTTTAAGCATAGCGCTTATTTGATTGGAACAAAGGTTAATGAGTTGTTGCCATTCAGCAAAATCGTAATTCTGTAGTACATCTGTGCGACTACCCAATAAACATTCTACTAAGACATCATCGTCAGAGTTTAAGATGTTAATCGAGTCTTCAACAGGTAGAAGATTAACAATCTTTTCAAAAAATATATCTCTTGTTGCACTTAGAGATGAACATTCTAAAATGAAGTGTTTTACAATGTCGTTTGTTGTTTTGGCACAGGCTAGGCAATACTGCTCTTCTTCAGTAGAGAGTACAATGAGATACAATAATTGGGCATATTCCCATAATCTGGAGGGATCCATTATCCCAAGTTTCCAATGAATAATTGGCTCATAGTCTACGTGAGTGTTAGCAAACCTGAGGTATTTAGAATCTTGGCTTAAATCATGTACCCATTGACGTTTTTGTTGAGTTTGAATTTCTTCTATAACAACAAATTTAAAAAAAATTAGTAACGATTAAATGTTCGTTCATCAAAATGTTCATGACATAAGTTTGTTTCATAATTAAGCAAAATAGCGGGTGTCACTGATTTCATTTTAATAGAATTCACTTATTATGTTCCACCATTGTGTTAGGGTATAAGAGAGATGGAGATGACGAGGGTGTATTTTCTCCGAAACACAAACCACAGATTTTTTTAATTTTGAAATATTTAGGCAAGTTTATTAGTAAAATTAAATGAAAGAGTAAAAATTTATCCACTAACTTTTTTTTTTACTATTTGCCTTTAAAATGGAAATCATTTTATTTTATTGTAATTTCACTCCCTCTGAATCAAACAGTTGTACAGTATTGCCTAATCACTGCTCTTATGTTATTACCGAGTTAACTATTGGCAAAAGAGTCACACCGGGCATATTTCAACACACTTGGATACGAACAACGAATAATGGGATCCAAATTGTGTAGCATTCGCCATGAATAAATTCTATATTTGATAACGTTGCATGAATAAAACAATAGGCTACTTAGTAATATCTAACTTGAAATACAAGCTTTCATTTTCCATAAATTACGGTCAAATATTCCACATCAAAGTCGAATACAATAACAACATGCAATAACAATGTACGAACCATCAAATGAGACGCTGACGTTCTGTCCTTTATTCGTATAAATTGGAAATATTTCAAGACGTTTATACTTTAATCGATTACAGGAAAAACATCAAGCGGAAAATTAAGCAATCGGAGGCAGATAGATTGAACTAATCCCCATATTTTGAAATCAAAATGTCCTGACGTTGATACAAACGTGAAAGGAGTGGTATCGATATGGTGAACTATTTGAACACACGTTTCTCTTAATCGGGTCATAAACATCTAAAAATTAAACACATCGTCAATTTAAGGTCATCTTTTGAATGGTAACAATATAATTTGAAATATATATATACTTCCATCTATAGTGTTTAAGAAAACACATCAAACACTTGTTTTGTTCTTGGTATCATGTTTCCAGAGTGAAATGAAACATCTTTCCGAACCTCATTGGAATAAAATGACATAAACACAACATGCTTAGGTCTCTCAATATTATTGTACAAAGGAAATTTTGATTGATTTTAAAAAAGGATCTTGTTAATGAAATAAAAGGTCTATCTTGATTTTTATCTATTTTTGGGGGATTTTGTTTTATATTTTTAATCCTTTTTTAAAATCAATCAAAAATTCCTTTGTATATTAATATTGAGAGGTCTAAAACATGTTGTATATGCTATTTTGTTCCAACAAGGTTCGGAAAGGCATTTTATTTCATTCTCAAGAATTGGTAGAAAGGAGCAAAAACAATTGCACTAAAAAAAACAAAAAAAGTTAACAAAAACAGTTATATAAAATATTTCTAAGTAATTTTCGCATTAAATTGTTGTCAATAAGTCACCATTGCATAAAATACCGTTTTTTACAAAATGTTTTCAATAATTGGTTTAAGAGAAAAAACATTGTTGAATTCAGTTCACCATATCGATACCTATCCTTTCCTTACAAAAAAAGCTTTGTTTTATCAGTGTTTCTCACTGCATCAAAATTGACTAATTTTTGTACTTGTCATTTTTTTTACTTATTTTGATGTATCTTTTCAATTTGTGTCTTCTAATCTTAATTCTTCCAGTATTAACATGCAATTCATAAGATTCTCCGATTTCCCTGGCTGTGCCAACTGAGATTGAAGACAGTATAGGAAATGACAATTGATTTGCATGGGTTACACTTGTTATAACAAAAATCTGTTTGAAATAAAACCTGGACACTATCGAAAAATAACTCACAGTACAACATGGAAACACAAGTTTAATTGAATAGGAATATACCCTTAATTAAGTTTACACAACACGGCATTTTGTTTTTGAGGCAAATAAAATACTAATGCGCCATAATTACTTTGTTAAAACAATCCGGGTTCCCGGATATAGCAATGTAAAGTAGGCCTTTAAATAAAAGGGATTTTACTTTGAAGTAGTCTAAAATCCATTCCATCTATTTTAAATCCAATATCTATTCTTTCCAATGAGTCATTATGAAACAATTCCATTAGCCTATTAATCTATCTAATTCATCATTTCATTTTGACAGCAATAAAAAGTAATTTAATTTTAACGTACCTGTATTTAGTTGCGTGTTTGTCAGTGACGTCTCAATAGCTGTCGATTGGAAATTAGTATTGCCAGAAAAGCTAATATCTTAAAGGGTTCAGTAGGGAAGGGATATATTTGAATAAATTAGCAACAAAACAACTCCTTGATTAACACTAAAACAAAATACAGATGATTAAATATACATTTGAATCAGTGAGACAAAAGGATGGGGTGCAATATGGGGAAAAATACCCACACAATTAGAATGGAAAAAGATAAGGTGTAAAATGAACACTACAATGTTAAATAATTCCATGGAAAATATATCGAAAGTGTTTGGACACACATATGTTTAGATTGGGGTCATTAAGTTCAGCAAGGGGGTATTGACTTAACATGGGGTATGCACCATTGAAATACTGTAACATGCAATAAGGAAGCGTACTATGCAAATGAATTTTGACGAACAAAAAGGTTCACCTGATTAAGCATTTACGCCCGTACATTTCATGATTGAATATTGACCGAATAATTAGCCGATTCTTCAATCTGTACCAAATATAGGTCAACAAGATACGAGTGTACAAATAAATATTATGCTAAAAGCAGTACATTCATTTTAAATATCAAGTGGATTTATATTTTTTCAATAATACAATCTGCACTACGTCATTCAGAGATTACATATTTATAGGATATCCTATGATTTTGAGGAATATAATTTTTATCTACGAGGTGATATTGATATCTGCACGAGAGAGCGAAGCGAACGAGTGCATATATCAATATCACCGAGTAGATTAAAATGATATTCTGAAGAAGTCATAGGATGTTCTTATTATCCTACACTTACAAGGAGTGTACTAAATGTATAATATCATTGCAAAACGAATTCCATGCCAAATAGAGTCAATTTGGCGGGAAATCAACAAGCGGAGTATATCGTCACAATATCCTCCGCATATTGGGTTTTCCGGAGTATATCGTCGCGATATCCTCCGCCCGGAGTATATCGTTACGATATCCTCCGGATATTCATTTTGCCAATAAATATCAAATTTATTTTTTAATGTTATTATACATTTAGTACACTAAGTGTAGGATAATACATTATATTATTGACAAATATGTTTCAGAGGATATCTGATTCACCGAAATTTGTCCTTCAACTTTTGCATTCAGAAAGAAACTGGAGTTAAAATACATACATGTATGGCTTTGAAATCCCATCGGAGTGTCATTTTCAATGAGATTTGATATGACTAACCTTGTATTCACGAATGCCACGCCTGTCGCCTACCGGATTAACCTACTTTTTTTACGGGCAACTCATTCAAATATGAATATAACCTGACACTATTCCATTCATATTTAAATTAGTTGGTCATGATATAGTAGGTTAATCCGGTATCCGCTAGCCGATATTTGCATTCGCGAATACAAGCTTATTCTTTATAAACCGAATTATGTTTTTATCATATTTCAATGATTAGATGAATAGAACAACGAAATACAACTTTACATATTATATTACATATATTTTTATTGCACATATTCAATTATTCCAATTGAAAGTCGTTGGGTTATTTCAAATGAAATGACAGTTTAGATTGCATTACTAAAATAACATTCCACTACCTCTTTTTTAAAACACTTTCTACGTTATACAATTTGTTTCCCCGGCGGAAGCGTAGAGCCCTGAGACACGCGATGCAAATACCCTACCTACAGAATAATGTTTTAAAATATTTCATTAAATAAGACTTTCAAAATCATGGTAGTACAATATTCACTTGATTTGCATTTTGTCAGTCTTTTTGAAGTTGCCTCGCCTATTTTTGGATCATGGTTACATTCCCGTTTCAACTTTCCACAGCATTTTGCAATACCAAGAAAACACGAAAATCCGCAAAAAACTATTAATCTAAAATGGCGTTCCAAAACATTTAAACATAGCGCATTGCTCCTAAAGAAAATATTACATTTCTATTTTATCACCGACAATGACAATTTGAATCGAAATTGTTCAGTACTAGTTGCCAATATCTGAATGTTGAAATCACTACTACCGTACGTAGTTATATTAACACAGATAATTCATTACTGTTGTGAATGCCTGTGCATCTTTCACAAGTGATATTCCACCCGTGTTGATATTTAATATCAACTCATTGATAATATGATGTCACTTAAAATGATATTTTGCATGTTCTACTATCTGCTACTATGATTTACAACATGTGATATGCATTTTCGGATAATAAGTTCCGTACAAACCCCCTACGCAGATTTTACGAACTTTACAAATCGGAAATTCACGTCCATTTCGAAAGATGTAACTGACACATAAGCTTTCATCCACATTTGCTCCAATAACTGCACCTAAAATGTCATTTATTTTTGAACATGAAGGTAGAAAGGTCTCCATCAAATATGAGTATTCTGAATTTTCGGCATCTGATCATGCGCGGGAATATTGCTTTTGACACCTGAATTGTTTGCGTGCGCAACTTCCTCCGGGCTGTCAACTCTCGTCTCTGCGGTGACGACACTAACGTTTGTCCGATATTGGCTAAGATATGTTGCCGTAGACTTAGACACGATCGGATCGTCCTTGCGATGCTTACACAGAAGACCCAGTAATTCCTTGCGAAAACGTCGACCAGTGATGCAATAGAGAAAGAAATTGACGGCCGAGTTGAAATAGAGAGCTAGGTTTACGCAAACCCAGGCGAGTTCGGATATGGCCGCATCGTGTTGAGACCTGTTCGCGACTTGTTGTTCCTCATCCAGTATGAGGTACACGGCGATCGGTAGAGTCAGCAAAACGAATACGAAACTAACTGTAAGCAACATGGCCGTCATAGCTGATGTTGGGTCCTCCACCTTTTGATTCTGTAAATTCATTGTGTCCAAACGCATACGTCGAGCCTGGATCAACTTAAGGATTATCAACACATTACACGTCGTTATGATACCAAATGGAATAAGCGATGCTATGGCAACATCCATCCACGGCCATATTTTATACTTGAAATGGTAAAACATATCATGTGAGTGGACGCAAGGATAGTGATATGTTTTATTATTATAGATCAACGTGTACATTCCATTCACCACCATCAGATGGGCATCGATGGCGATAAGAATCACAGCAATTGAAACAATTACGATAGCGGCCTTCCTTTTGGTGCAGAAATCTCGTGTCCTCAGAGGCCAATAGATTGTGATCATTCGCTCAACGGTGACCGCTACAAGCAACCAGCCGGAAAAGTGCGTGAAGAAGTAAACGACAAAAGTATGAATTTTACAAACGACCTCATGGAGCGATCTTATGTCTATTTCGATAAGGACAGTGAGCCAGTTCCTCAGTAGCCCCATACAAAGGAGCATTATGTCCGAAACTGCGAGTACTGCGAGGTATAGACTCGAACTCGTGCGCTTCATGTTTGTCGTTTGGAGGACTATAACCGACACAATATTTCCGACGATCCCGATTAGAAGTATGATCGGGGATATATACAGCCAAAACATCTGTCCAAGCTTATATTCGTAGAACTCGGTATATCTCTTTCGCCTTGTCACTTTTGGAAGGTACGCAACTGTGGAGTTGATCACAGCTGTAGTGTTAATCGCAGCTGTAGTGTTGATAGCAGCTGTGATATTGGTGACAGCTGTGGTGTTAAAATCAGGTGTAGTGAAACTAGCAACTGTAACATTTACATCGGTGAAGGCGTTTATCGTATCCATTGTGGCATTCATGACGCTAGTTGTATCTCCAATCACAAATTCACTTGTACCAGTGTCGCTGTTATTATAATCGAACTTGATTCCCGCGAGTGGTGTCGTTTCGTTCATTGCAGAATACCCAATTGTTGTAAATAAAACCACTATCCCTAACAAGTGCCTTGAATCCATAGTACCTAATAGAGCAAAAAGGCATTCTATCAAACAGCGAAATTAAAATGATACTGTTTAGTTCATAATCAAATAAATTATTGCGTTCTGCGATTAGCCAAGACAGAACAATGCGATCAATACTGCAATTAATTTGCACTGATTTATTGTTGTGTTGCGTTAATTGAGTTTTCAACCCTGTGTTGGGTACGTCCCGACCACATCAGTAACTCGGGAGTATCCAAGACATATATCCTCTCGCTAAAGCCATAATAAAGCGTCATTTGCTTTGATGATATTCAAGGTTTTCCAACATAAACTAACCTTGTATTCGCGAATGCAACTAACGTCTGCCAGCTACCAGATTAATCTTCTATGTTATGCTCAACTCATTTAGATATAAAAGGCATAATGGCAGGTACTATTCATATTTAAATGAGTTACCCATAAAATAGTAGGTTAATCCGGTAGCCGACAGGCGTTAGTTGCATTAGAATACAAGCTAAGTATAGTATACTCTATTACTCTACTGTGTTTTTTATTTTTTGAATACTTCCCTTGCTTACATTAAAGACCCCCGCCGCCGAATAACTCAATCATTTGTTCAATTAATTCGTATTTAATTCGATATCTGAACTCATCTGACTATTTTTTACTAAACTGTATACGTTAACTTTTATAATTGTAGCGAGACCTTATATTGGCACCGTTTTGAAAATTGCCTCTTTGTCAATGCTTTAATAATGCAAAAATGACTTTTTACCTGTTTATTCAAATAAACGACATTACTGACATTCACTGTAGGCTACTAGGATTCTGGAATTATTAGAAACGGATGTACGAATGCGAAGAAAATTTCCATGTTTGTTATGTAAAGCTAGTTTTATAATTGAAGTAGACTGACCGAAAAGATAAAACGAGACGCTCGTTTGATTAATGTATCGGCGAACTTTATTA